GGCTGCCCCACTCTTCTCCCCTGGCTCCCAGCGAACCCCCCAGTTGAGCCCATCCATCTCTCCAAAACTGTGGCACTGAGGTGATGTTTGCAGGTCTCACTGATCTCTCTTACTTTTCGCTGTTGTTCTCACCCCCTTATCCTCCCCTTGCTTGGACCAGGAGCAGTTTGGGAACTTGGTGTAATCCTGTCCACAGAGAGTTTGCAGGAGTCTGTGGGCTCTGGGTGCCATGAGACTCTAATTATGGGTGACAGCAGAAGGATCACAATAAAGACTTGGAAAAGGACATCGCATGTCCACAGAGCTGGAAATGCGTGTCAGTGCCTTGCTGGGACCAAAGCCCTGCTGTTGCTGGCTGGCTTTTCCACAACGGGCTTTGTGCTGAAGCGGCTCTCTTTTGCACCCCTGTCAGGTGCCTGCTTAGGTTATAAAAGCTGATCGGCTGCCAGGTAATGAGTTTTATTGTTCCAAGAAACACATAAACAAGCTCTCCCGGCTGACGGGGAGCGGATTTCTGTTTGAATTGCGATTAACAGGCAGGATTTTTTTTTATCAGTTGCATGGCCAGGGCTGCCAAGGTTGTATTTTTCCACTGAACAAGCTCTGCTTTGCTTTGAAGGTGAAAGTTTGTTCCACTGTTTACTGCAGGTGTAAAAAGGCTCACGTATTCAGAAACAGCCTTGCATGCTTTACAGGGAGAGCAGTGGTAGGTGCGATCCCACAGAGCAGCACAGCCTGCCAAGGGACTTTCCATGGACAAAGGGGTTTTGCAGGATTTACAGCACGGGACAGACTTTGGGGATGAATATTCGCTCTGAGGTTCATAACCCTTTAGGAAAATCAGAGCTTCTAACTTCATTTCTTAGTGCCCAGGGATCTCTCCTCCTTTTAGCTGCTCGACTTTTTTTTATCCCTTGGTGTCAGGTTGAAGCTTGGCAATGGCTGACGCGAAGTGCTGACGACAGAGCTGCGTCGGAGGGGCAGCGCACGTGGAAGAATTTCAGACGCAGCACTGCATCATCCATCCTTCAAGGGCACCTTCTCCCAGGAGAAGAGTCCTGGATTTTGGCACCGTTAATACTCCAGGTAACTTTCAGGATTTCAGCAGGAGTTTGTGGTGCTTTGCTTGTCTCCAATTACACAACAAGAGCACAGCTGCTTTATGCTTAAAAACCCCCTCATCTATAAGCTTTGGATCATAACTGTTAAAATGCTTTGATTTTACACAGCGTCATAACCTGATGTATCTGCCCAAGCAAAACCATTTTTGATGGGGCAAAAGTAGGATCCAACTCCTTAAGTAACAGAGATATAAGGACTGGTGACTTGCTTCTGGAGTGGATGTAGGTCACCTAATGTCCTGGTGTTCCCCCAGCATCCATCTCCCAATATTACCACCCTGCCTAGGAAGGCAAACTTCCAGCTGCACCTCTTCCACATCAGCTTCCCCCAGCAAGGGTATGTCACAGCAACGCTACTCCCCCCTACACCTCCTGCTGCACACACCTCATGGAGGTGTGAGGTTCTGTCACACCACACAGCATTAACCCTGCACCACTGGCTGCCCATCACCCTCACCCTGCAGCTCCTGCCCACAAGCTGCCAGGAGTGCTGGTCTGTTACAGCTCCCCTGCCTGGCTTTTGATATGCTACATAAAACTCTCCCTTGCCTCAACTGAAATGCCAGATAAAAGGCACTCTAGTGAGAGCCTGAAGCAGGAAAGAATTTATTTGGGTAAAAAAATAAGTGACTTGTTGGTTACTTGATCTCGTTGTGCCCTATTTGTTTACAGAGACAGCTCAGGAAGATCAATGCTTTAGGCACCAGAGGCAGTTCGAGTTGCAAGGAGGAATTAAGAAGGTGGGAGAGAAAAAGAAAAGACCTTGGCACAATCTCACAAGCATCAGAGATCTGTTACCAACAGGTTAATTTTTAGACTTAACCTTTGAAGCATTAGAAGTAAACAAGCAATAAGGAAGCTTCTTCCCCTTCCTAGAAGGACTATTTTAAATTCACTGTAGCCCTCTGCCCAAGTCTCAGCTGGTTCAAACTGTTACAGTTCTGTGGCTATCAAAACCGCTTTACAGCTGAGAAGGCAGCCTTGGCTCTCTGCCACTGTATATGATTATGTGTGGACAAAGAAAAGCTCAGGTTAAGAAGCAACAGTAGTTTCTTCTAGTAGTAGTCAATTATGGTGTTTAAACCCCTTTTTCTATCTAGTTCAGTCAACACCTGATGTCAGCAGAGTTGAAAATTCATAGCTCTCCTACAGCTCTTCATCCGGTAGCTTCCACATGAGTTTTGTGACTATAAAATGCAAGATTTTAAAGAACGCTCCATCCAGGTCAATAGAAATACCATAATTTATTCTGTTTGTATAAAAAAAGTTAATCATGTAACAAAACTATGTCTTCATAAGAAGAAATATATTATTTCACATCATAAATAAATCAAACATACAACCCTTGGCAACTCAAAAAAGCACTCGCCTGGTGCCTTCACATCAGTGCTTGGGAAACAGTAAGAGCTGACAGATATACACACACAGGATTACAGTACCAAAAAATACTGAGGTATTTTGTTTCTCTAGAAATGAAACTTTAGGTTTGTGAAGGCAAAAAAACCCCAATGCACTAATGTAAAAATAAATAAACAGGACTATCATATAAACGGGGACAGCATCAGTGTTGCTCTGTCCAGGAATGGGAATACTGGTGAGCATGCTACTAAACATGGAGCAGGCTTTGGACAGACAGAAGACAAGGAGGAACAGCTCAGGAAGAGACATTGTCCTTTGATCTCTGTGTAGACATCCAGATATTGGCTTTAAAAGTCAGCAGAAAAGTCAGTAACACTTAGTTCTCTGGCATCAGGTGAGCTCCTCTCCATTTATGACACTGTTCTGGGATGCACAGATGGTTCCTCACAAACACAAGTGACTGATGACACTGTCCCTGTCATTATTGCACTTCTGAGACAGTAAGTCTGAGTTCTGACTGAAAGTCTGAGAGCTTTTTTGACCATATATTCACCCGCTCCTCAGCAGCTCGGGGAAGTGGTGATGGGGCTCTGAAGATAGTTTAAAGCACCAGATGAGGTGTGAACAGGGATGGAGACTGGAAAGTTAAAGACCGTGGTGGTTGATGCTCCTCTGTCCAATACTGACATAGCAGGGCTACCAGCTTCTGCTGAGCAGTTGGGGGCAAGGACCTGCGACTCAAACTGAAGCAGCTGCCCCATGAAGCTGAAGTTTGGGGAGATGATGCTTCTTCTTTGTTTCACAAACTCAAAGGCTTCATCCAGTTTGACTCTGTTGGTCCTCATGAGATAAGCAAGGCAGATGGTTGCTGACCGGGAAATGCCAGCCTGGCAGTGCACAAATACCCTTCCTCCATCATTTTTAACAGAGTCTGAAAGAATTAAGATGCAGTTAACAAACAAGTCCCACTGCTTCCAGAGGTGGGAAAGCACAGGCTGCTGTTTTACATTTCTTTAATCTATCCCTTCCTTAGCCTAATAGGTGCACCCGGTGCTTTTGAGACAAAGAGAGCCTTTGTCCTGAGGGAACCAGCAGTCTAGCTATTTTCATTCTGGGCTCCAATTCCAATTATACTAATAGCTCCTCCAGGTCACTTTAGCAGTCTTGCAAGATTACTTTAATACTGATCCGCTTAAATTCACTAGCTCTTTTCTGCAAGACCAATACCTCTTGAATCAAGACTTCAAACACCTTTGTGAAACTAAGATTACTCCTCCGAGTAGAATAAAATTAACTGAAATGTTTCCCAAAGTGTATCTCTGCTACAGAATTAAATTCCCAAATCTCAAACGTAGCTTTTACTGGGGAAAACAATGCCCAAAAATCCCTTCCCAGGCTACATCACCCCAGAAAGAACAGACTGTAAAGAGAGCTCATTCACCTATGAAATCAATCGCCTCGTTAAACCAGGAGCTGATATCTGCCTTGTGGTTGTCCTCCACGGGGATACTTTTATACTGGTAGTGCCCTTCGAAGTGGTTGGGGCAGTTCGCCGAGACGTTGATTAACGCCGTGATCCCCAGAGCATCCAGCATGTCTTTGCGGGAAGCATGGTAGGCGCTGCCCAAGTAGAGGAACGGCAGGATTTCCACCGGCCCGCCCTAAAACAAAGGACAGGCGACCGGTTAACTTCGCTCGGCAGCTTTCGAGC